GACACATGAGAGGGAGGGGGCGAGGTGCGGGCCCATACATGCATTCGTTCTCGGTGTGCGTCGTCTGATGGCTGTGTGTGTCCCACCAGGTCACTCGGTGGTGCCAGTCACCTCAGTCGACGTACCAGACGGCTTCTTGGGAGCCGATGAGCTGGAAGCTCGATTCCCTTACGGCACCAGCGACGTTACCAAGTCGCTGGCAGTGGGCGTCCTCGGCCGCACCATCCCCAGCCCACAGCACGTGACCGACCTCATCCAACAGGGAGCCAACCCCAATATCAAGCCTCAGCTGAGGAAGAAGGGCAGCAAGGTTGATGGGTTCGGCTACTCGCTGCTTACTCTTGCTGTCCACGACAAGGCAGACAACACCTTCTCGGCCATCCACGCACGCCAGGATGATGACGATGATGATGATGATGATGAGGGTGATGAGTGCCGCGTGGTCCTGCCGCAGTGGCCGTCTGATGAGCTGCAGGCGGCCATCATGAAGGCACTCATCGACGGAGGTGCAGACGTCAACGCGACATACAGGGACGCCGCCAGCAGGCCCATCTGGGTGACCATCCGATGCGGCAATGAGGCTGCCTTCAAGCTGCTAATGGCGCAGGGTGGCATCGACCTGGAGAGCATCTTCCTGATGGCGCTGCCCCCATCGCTGCATCCGATTCTCCCGCAGTATCAAGAGGTGCAGCTGTCGATGTTTCGGCACCTCATCACACGAGAGCCCACCCTCGCCACCGAACGGGCCAACGGCGGCAACCTGGTGCACCACGCGGCCGGATATGCGTGGGGCCACCACTCCCAGTCCTTCATCGACACCTACCTCGACCTCATCACGGCGAACGGGGCCGACATGACGGCAGACGATGGCGGCCTTGGGGAGACGCCACTGCACTACGCGGCAGTGTATGGCTCTCCCTACGTGGCCGACTACCTTTGCCGCAAGCTGCCCGCTGACCAGATCAACAGACGGGACGGAGTCGGCGAGACGCCCCTCAGCAAGGCTGCCGAGATGCTCGATCACCGCACCCAACAGCTGCAGCTCCCCGACACACCCGAGGTCACCAGGGAGCGGTGGCGCGCCAAGATTGACGACTTCAAGCTGGCCATCCGCACCCTGCTGCGGGCGGGTGCCGACATCACCACCATCCCCACCATCCCCACCATCCCCACAGCCACAGAAAAGGACCGCCGTCAGCGCCAGCTGGTGCTGACGGAGTACCCCACGGTGCTCAACGAGCTGCCCACTGCCGTCATGTCGGCCGTCAACGCCGCCCTCGCCCCCCACCGCTCCCTCGCGGCCCTCCTGACCCCCCGGCTGGCCGTCGGCCCGCAGGAGGCCGCCATCTTCGGCTGGCGCATCGCGTCATACCTCTTCGACATGGATGCCGCCAAGGAGGCCATCGGTGAGGCCATCGGTGTGCGGCACACCGACATGGCCCGGCGTGTGTGTGCGGCAGCGGAGCACTTCGTCCGCTCGGCAGTGTACCAGGCCAGTAGCAACAGGGAGGTGGTGGGCGGGACGGCCGATGTGGGCGGCCAGGTGGTGCGTGTGCCGCAGCTGCAGTGCTTTGTGGTCGGCGGTGTGGGCGGCCGCAAGATGGAGTTGCGTGAGGTGGTGCAGCGGGCCATCGTGGACGAGGCGGCCAAGTGGGGGCTGACGGGGGAGATCGACAACGGCTTCAGCAAGAATGTGGCTGCGGTGGTGTGGGGGGCGGTGGGGTGGGTCGAGAGGGGGCGGGACGGGAGGGAGACATTCAGATCGCTGCAGCTGACATGAGATGCGGACACACAGATTTGGGTGGCAGGCAGGTTTTGGTTGCTGTTTTTTTTTTCTATTCCAACATTGCCGTGTGGTGTTTTCCATGACGTGCTGTCATCGCTCAGTATCCGTTTCTTTTATGGCGCGTTATGATGACGCGTAACATGAATGTATGTATGTGCGTGTGTGTGTGCGTCTAGTGCTTCGGTGTCAATTGACTTTTTAAGTACATCAGTCCAACACCACAGCTCTCCGCGCACGATGCAGTGAAGAGAAAAGGGCCACGAGAGAGTGACGCAGTCAGGCAGCGATCTTGCGGCTTGGGCGCTGCACGATGAACTACCGTTGACTACGCACTGCTCACACACATACACGCACAGGCAATGACAAACCAAACGATCACTTTTCTTGGCGGATAAGCCGTTCGTGTGTGTGGTTCGAGGTGTGGTGTGCGTGTGCAGGAATGGACTTTTTGCCGACGTTTTTATGTACGGACGGGTCGATCGAGTGAAGGTGTGGACGAAGTGATACACACGCCATGGCCATGAACCCATCCATATTCTCGTGAACGCATCCATCAGCCATATGCACAATGTAGGTCGGCACACCCACGAGAGAGACATGGGAGAAGTCCCTCCACACGCACAACACACACGTGCACGCTCATATGCACATAGTTCCCGCCCGCCCACAAGCAAGCCAGCCGGCAATCTCTCTCAACCAATTCACCTGCAGGCAGCAGGTGAGGCGTCACCGTGTGAATGAATGAATACACGATGACGTCTCTCCACCCGTCTGCCTGCCTGCCTGCCTACCTGGCTGCCTGTCTGCCTGCCTCTTACCCGCCCGGCCCCCTCTCTCTGCACCAACGCGTATGTCTCACGACACCGCCCCCATCGTACCGGCCAACCAGCAGCGACAGCCATCCATCCATCCACACCAGAACCCCCCCACCTGCCTCCGTCCCTCATTCATCTATGTCATCCACTACTCCTCCATCGCATCGTCACCGCCGCTGTCCAAACGCGCCTCCGAGTCAGCTACTGGAATGCGGCCCCCAGCTGCTGCCATGTGAACTTGCAGTCGGCATCTCCCAGGTGGGTGTTGAAGCCCTTGGCCACCGCACCGTCCGCCAGCCCCCACTTGGCCGCCTCGTCCAGCCTGGCCCGATGCACCACCTCACGCAGGCCCACACGACCACGAGTGTGCACCGCCTCGCGCGGACGGCTGTCGACACCCTCGAGCACGAAGCACTGCAGCTGCGGCACACGCACCACCTGGCCGCCCACATCGGCCGTCCCGCCCACCACCTCCCTGTTGCTGCTGGCCTGGTACACTGCCGAGCGGATGAAGTGCTCCGCTGCCGCACACACACGCCGGGCCATGTCGGTGTGCCGCACACCGCTGGCTTCCTCTGTGATGGCCTGCTGGGCGGCATCCATGTCGAAGAGGTATGACGCGATGCGCCAGCCGAAGATGGGGGCCTCCTGCGGGCCGACGGCCAGCCGGGGAGTCAGGAGGGCCGCGAGGGAGCGGTGGGGGGCGAGGGCGGCGTTGACGGCGGCCATGACGGCAGTGGGCAGCTGGTTGAGCACTGTGGCATACTCGGTGAGCACCAGCTGGCGTCCACGGCGACGGTCCTCTGTGGCTGTGGGGATGAGATTGATGTCGGCACCCGCCCGCAGCAGCGAATGGATGGTCAGCTTGTAGTTGGGAATCTCAGCGCGATGCCGCTCCTTGGTTTGCTCGGGTGTGCCCGGGTCCTGCAGCCGTTGGGTGTACCAATCGAGCTGTCTGGCAGCCATGACGATGGGCGTGTCACCGTGGTAGTTCCGTCTGTCGATCTGGTCAGCGGGCAGCTTGCGGCAGAGGAAGTCGGCCACTTGGGGAGAGCCAGACACTGCCGCGAAGTCCAGTGGCCACTCCCCAATGAGGTCGTCCTCTGCTGTCATGTCGGCCCCGTTCGCCGTGATGAGGTCGAGGTAGCTGTCGATGAAGGACTGGGGATAGAGCCCCTTTGAGTCAAAGGCTGCCCTGTGCACCAGGTTGCCGCCGTTGACCCGTTCGGTGGCGAGGGTGGGGTCTCGTCGGGCGAGTCGCTCATACATCGACATGAGCACCTGCGGATACTCGGGGGGAGGCGGACGCAGGGGACGGCAGCTCCATCACCATGCGTGGGCCTTCTGGTACGCGCAGGTCGATGTCTTGACGAGCCATCAGCGGCTCGAAGGCCGTCTGGTTGCCATACGCAATCGCCACTTGGAGTGGCGTGCCTATTCTCTCCAAGTCGCCGGCTGCCGCATTGGGGTCGGCTCCTCCGTCGAGGAGTGCGGTGAGGATCGCCGCCTGCAGCTCGTCAGACGACCACTGGGGCAGGGCGACGGGACGGATGACAGCATGACTGTCTTCTGCTTTGACAGTCCGGATGGTGTAGCCCGACTTGTTGTCAATGGCGATGGCGAGGAGCGAGTAGCCGTAGACGGCACCACTGCTGCCCCTGCCCACCAGCCCAGTGATGACATCCGGGTCGGCGTCCTGCTCGATGAGGTCGGTCACTTGCCGTGCGTCGGTGATGCGGCGGCCGATGATCCACCGTGACAGCTCCCTGGTGGCGTCGCTGGTGCCCTCGGGGAAACGAGCCTCCAGCTCATCGAGTCCGATATGGCCGTCAGGCACAGGAGCAGTGGGATCCGCCAGGTCACTGAGAGGATGACCTGTGACACACACAGCCACACACAACGGACGGCGGTTGAATGTCATTGCGCACAGTATCCTCCCTCGCGTCTGTCTGGCGTACCTTCCTCCTCATATTCCCAGTCGTCGTCCGAGTCTCTGTCATCGATATCGTCATCTTGGTCGTTATCATCATCCTCCTCCCACATGCCATCCTGACACACAACAAAGAGGCAAGGGAGAACAAACAACGTATGTGCCTCCATCGCATGGACCAGTGTTGGTGTTGATGAGTGCCTCACCGATTCGTCTCCATTTCCTGCCTGCGGACCCTCACCACCGTCGGCCATCTCATCGGCCATCCCGTCGTCCTGCTGCTGCTGGTCGCCTGGACACCAACACACACACACACATGGCATGAGTGTGCTGCTGGTGTGTGTGTGCGTCGAATGGTGTGTGTGGCAGGTCTGATCACTCACCGCTGTCTGCGCCATTGCGATCTGAGTCCTCCGCCTGTCCACTGCCGCTATGCTCCTCCTCAGCTACATCGTCTGCACACACCACAAATGTACAGGAATGATATGATCCTGCGTGTTTGATGTCCTGCATCGTCCTTTCCACATCCAGCGCCTTCCATGGCAGCGCAGTGCATCTTGCCATCGTGACCTCCAGACATTACTCACTCAGACACCAACAGCTGCACGGACCACGCACAGAGAGGCAACAAGAGGTGGCTTTGTGCCCGCGCTGTGGCGGTGTTCACCTTTGATGAGTCAATAGATGGCTGTGTAGAGGCGCTCCATCAGTCCGTGCTGCCTCGTTGGTAAAGCAGCTCTGCATTCCACATCATGGTGGCTCGTGCTGAACCAACCAATTGATTGCTCACCGTTGGCGCACGCTGATCTATGGACGCTGATTCAGGTGAACCAGTGGTGAACCAAACTCAGCCGCACCTGGACAACTCCCGACCGAAAAAGAGAGTGGTCCTCCACTCTTCTGCAGCGTCAGCTCGCACTTCGTGGGGGCCTGACTCCACTGCCATCCTTTTCGGCTGTCCCAAGGTTCTCTGGTGGGTTTCCGCCTACCACCCGGCTTAAGACCTGGGCTGTTTCATAGAAAGCAACTGGAAAGAAGACTTGAAGCCTTTCATGGTGGTGTCTCCCGTGTCGTCGGCGCGTGGGCTGATGACGGGCCCTAACATGGTTTATGCCGCCATGGGGACCTTCCTGGCGGCCTGCGCCATCGCGGGCCTGGCCACATCGTCTGGCGGGGTGCTGCTCTTCACCTTCACTCTGGCGGCCCTGCTGGTGGTGGGGGAGCTGCTCTACTCAAAGTTCCTGGCGAGAAAGGTCTTTGGGATCAGGCCGGGTGAGCCGGTGCCCAGCAAGGACCCGGCGCACCAGGGCAATATCGACTACCATGCGTCCGACCCCTTCCTGCTGTTCGGACACCATTTCACCTCAATCGGTGAGTGAGCCAAGTGAGCAGCGAACAGCGTGGCTGCGTGAGGATGTCTGTGTGTGTGTGTGTGTCTTGGCGATGCAGCTGGTGCGGCTCCCATTGTGGGCCCGTCGATAGCGATGTACTACGGCTGGCTGCCGTGCCTCATCTGGATTGTCGGAGGGGTCATCTTCGCCGGAGCTGTCCATGACTTCGGCGCACTCGTCCTGGCCACAAGAAACAAAGGCGAGACTCGCCAAAACGAGAATTCAGCACGTGCAGACAGGAGAGGAATTATGCCCTAACTGGCTGCCTGCCTCTGTCCCTTCTGTCAGGCCGTTCTATCGGAGACATGTGCGGCATCATTCTGTCTCCGCGGTGTGGTATCCTCTTCTTGTGCCTGCTATCTTTTCTGACTTGGCTGCTGATAGCGGTGTTCGTCAACGTGATAGCCAAGCTGTGGATCGACTTCCCGGAGACCGTTCTGCCAGTCAACGGACAGATACTGGTGGCAGTGGCTGTGGGGGTGCTCTGGAGATATAAGAAGCAGCAGGTGGGCATCTTCTGGCCATCGGTTGTGGCACTTGTGGCACTCTATGTGCTCATCTGGCTGGGAGTCGCCGTCGATGAAAGGTAAGCCTCGACCAACCGAGAGAGTGGGATGCATCGACGAGCCTGTTTGTTTATGGTGTCAGGTTCGATCACCCCTTCCAAGTGGTGCGGGGCTCGATTTGTCGAAACGCAGTGATGGAGGAGGGCTGCGAGTTCGGCGCACAGCAGGTGTGGACAATTGTCATTGGGGTCATCATCTTCGTCAGCAGCCTGCTGCCCGTCTGGCTGCTCGTCCAGTCCAGGAATGCCATCAACGCACTCCAGCTGGAAACCTGCATGTGAGCCATCTTGTAGCAGACTTTCAAGCGCCCACCAACATCCATCTGTGCGTCAGGCTGGGTCTCTTCATCGGTCTGCTGGTGGTCAGTCCAAGTATCAATGCCGATGTAGTGCGGTCGGCCGAGACCAAAGCCACTGAGGCGTCGCTGGGTGGCGGAGAAGGAGACCCTCTGTTCCCCATGCTGTTTGTGACCATTGCCTGTGGGGCCGTCAGCGGCATACATGGGCTCATTGGATCCATGTGAGCAAGAGACCCACACACACACGCATTATGCTGGAGTGGTTACCTGTCTGTCTGCGTGTCTCAGAGTGACCTCCAAGCAATTATCGTCGACAACCCACGCCCGCCCCATCGGCTACGGTGGCATGCTCGGCGAAGCAGCTCTCGCAGCGCTCGTGACCACCATCTGTGCAACAATGGTCAGTGAATTTCAATCGTGGCACCCATGCTGTCTGCCTGCCGCCACATCCATGCCCTTTCCCTCCCAGGTGACGTACAGCGACGCTTATGCCACGTGGAAGGATGCGTCAGGGACCGGGCAGAACAACTTCGTCCACGGCGGTGGGGCGCTGTTGGCGTCTCTGGGCATTCCCGTTGCTGCGTCTCGATCCGTTGTGGTTGTCATGGTCGTGGCATTCGCCTCAACCTCACTCGACACATACGCTCGTACGGGAAAAGGGGAGGGGGCGACGCACAGACAGCTTTCTATGTGTGTGAATGTGCGGCTCAGGTATGCAGCGCATGCTGATAGCTGAAGTGGGCGACACAATCGATCAACTTGTGTATGGGAAGCAGACCGACTCGCCCGTCTCCGTGTGGAAGAGGCCAGTGAGGGTGCTCACCCGGGCATTTCAGCATCCCTTTGTCGGCTGCACCTTGGCTGTTGTGCCGGCGATCTTCCTGGCCAACTCCCGGACAGTCGACTCGCTGTGGCAGCTGTTTGGCGCGACCAACCAGATGGTGGCCGCTCTCAACCTTCTCACGGTGAGCGATGAGACATGGACAGGGATGATATCGTGCGGATCTGAAGAATGGCTCGTCCATGTGTGTGCAGATAAGTGTTTATCTCTTGCGGCTGACGTCGTCCCCATGGAAAGCCCTGACCTACTTCGCGCCCTTCATTTGGCTGTTTGTCATGACCAGCTGGGCTCTGCGGGTCAGCGACTTGAATTGAGACCTCCAGCCTCATCTCTGTGCACATGTGTTGGTCATCTATGCGTCTCCAGGTCCAGCTGTCGAGTTGGTTGACCGCTCCTAGACTGGGCGCCTCCGATTGGCTTGCTATCATTATCGGCTTTCTCATCGCATGTCTGGTGGCGTGGATCGTGCTCGAGGTCGCACTTTGGATCGCACAGGGAAAATACAAACACGACAGCAGGTATGCGAATGGCTGTCCAACGTATGCCCACAGTTTTAACGATCCTCTCTACGTGTGATTTATGCAGGTTCATCTGTGAGGATGAGGATGGCCGTGTTGGCACATACAAGATGACTAAGAATGGCATTCCACCAGCTGTCGAGACTCGTTCTGCCGACTTTCCAGCCAAGAAATCGTCTTCTGTGATCGAAAGCGACGCTGGCGACGGATGCAGCACTTCAGCACCCCGCGCCATGTCCAAACAGGATGGTTCGTTTGTAACTCAGCCGAGCATCTCCATAGAGAGACAGTACGATACAGAAGCAGCAGGGGAGGAGGACGACTTCGATTGCGGCGACGCGTGCGAAGAAGAGGAGGCCACGCGGCGTGTCAGGGCCTTCTTCGAGAGGGCCGCTGAGCACGGCATGGCCTGTTGCTAGGCCGAGAGTCCCTGCCTTTATATTTCTGTCTCCCTGTAGATACACGTACGTCATGTGGATAGAGGAGACATGTGATGTCTATGGGTGGACCTTCTTTTTCCGTTTGGGACTTGGCTGATTACAGCGACAAGTAAAGAAGACAGGCGGGCGGTCGCGATGTATAGGGCTTGGTATGAAACGTATATGTCCATGTAATGTATCCTGTCGTGTACCCCGCCATCATGCCTCATGACAAGTGCTACGTCGAGATCGCATGTTTGCTTTATGCTCGCTGTCGGTGTCTCGTGGTGAGTGACGCTTTGTGGTATAGCGCGAGGGATCCTTTGCTTCGCTGCGGGTCGGTAGGGTCGCGATATGGGTGTTACATGCAAATAACAGCAAGATTGAAGAATCAACAAACACTGCGATGATGTAGGCCGAAGTGTCTTTTCACTGGACCAGCTCAAATTGTCAGTGACTCTATAGACAGACAGACAGACCGATACATACACACACTAGCTTGGCACATATTACAGAATACTCCGTCTGTACAACAAACGTTGCTACGCAAGCCCACTATCAGCTCACTCAGGACACATAAATGGCCGGCCCCTCAACTTTGTCAGTGCCTCCATTTCTTCTCATGACCGCCTGCCATTTGTGGCTCGAGGAAACCGCGGAACGACCAGTCACTGGCCACCCACCGAGCGCCATACCCTTCACGTGTGCGCACCTGGCCACCCACCCACCCACACACACACGCGTCGCGGACATGATGGCACTGGCCTTGAAGTACGAGAGTCGCTTGCTCACCTCCAGAATTGCCACGTATTCCTCTTTGCTACCATCCGGAAGCCCATGAACATTGACCCACGTCCGATCAGCCAGTATGCTCTCCACACGATGACGCGCCTTGGCGTTTTTCTCTGCTTCAGAGCCACTGTTAACACCCCACCATCCGTCAGAAGCCCGCCCGGCATGCTTGGTCCACGCACGACCCCCGACCGTCAGCTGGTGTCCCTTCGGCTCACTGGGGTGAAAGGGCGCATCAAATGCATCGAGCAGGACGGGAATAGAAGGCGGCACCACATCGACGGATCCTTCAGTCGTTCTTATCCCAACCAGCGTCATAACGCCACGAATCCCGATCCTTCCAAGAAGCTCCTGCGCCTTCAGCCCAGAGGGGGCGTCACATAGGTCTCCCACCAGGGGCTGCAGCGGGATGAGTCGTCCGATCTGCTCTGCAGTGCTCTCGGCGAAATCCTCAGGCTGCATCATGGACCCGAACGAAACAGGAAATCGCTGAGGCGCGGCATGCCATCTCTCGAGGGCAGCTGCAAGCGCCTGAGCTCCCCATGGATGGCTGTCGGCCGTGCCATCAATAAAATGCCGCCATTGCGGGTCGGGGAAGATGACCTTGGCCCCCAGCATAACCGCCTGAAGTAGAGGGCCGGACGAGCTGCTGCAGAAAGCTCCAGGAGGGCCGGATGGTCCCTGTGCAGGACGTGCATGGCGGCTGAGAAGAAGGCCCATGGACACGAGGACGCACAAGATCTGCACGACATAGAGAAGCGACGAAATGGATCGCTTTCTTCGCCGCTGGCTCTGTGTGCACCTGACGTCTGGTTTGCAGCTTTGATTCTGAGCGTTAGAGCAAAGAGTAAAACACGTCTGCGAGCTATCGTGAGTTCCTGGACGAGGCGAAAGTGGGCAGATCTACCTTGTCGGCGAGGCTAGAGGATGGTCCACTCGTTCGGCAAGCGCGCGCGTACGCGCGACAAGTACTCGAAGGCCTTCCGCAGCAAGGGGAACCCCTCGGTGTCGCGGTACCTGCAGAACATCAAGAAGGGCGAGTATGTGGACATCGTGTGCGACGCCTCGGTCCAGAAGGGGATGCCTTTCTCCTACTACCACGGCAAGACGGGCATCGTCTTCAACGTGACGCAGCACTCGGTGGGCGTGCAGGTCAAGAAGCGCGTGCGCAACCGGGAGATCTGGAAGCGGCTGCACGTGCGCATCGAGCACGTGCGCAAGTCGAGGTGCCAGGAGGACTTCCTGCGTCGCGTCAAGGACAACGACAAGGCGCACCACGAGGCCAAGGAGAGGGGCGAGAAGGCCATCACCAAACGCACACCCGAGCAGCCGGGAGGGGGCGAGAAGGTCATCACCGACGAAGTCCGCGTGCTCGAGCCGCTCACCTTCGTCGAAAACTACTGAGGCGCGAGGCGACTGACTGAGTGGGGAGGGAGGGAGGTGCAGACACCAGACGGGCGCATGATGACAGGCAGGGGAGGGAGGGGACGTATGCGGTTGCTCGGTGGTTCTTTGGCTGGGCAATGTGCCTTCGTCCTCTGTCTTGTCTGTGGTTGGAGTGTGCTGTGGTGTGCTTCCCGTGACGCATGTGCGCGTTTTCGCAGTGAGAATGGACTTAATGGTGATGCGACTCTCAGTGTCAAGCAATCAATCTTGCGTGCTTTAAATCGGTGCCGGGTTCCATCCATCTCAGTCGCTGGTAATCGTATCACACAACATGTGGCATGATTCTTGTCATCAATTGTAGCCCGTTTCTGGCTACACCAAATACGCAACCCGAACTCGATCAAATGCACATGGGGGGGAAAGACCAGACCACCCAGGACGCATTGCGTCCACAGGTGTGTACTTCTCTCCCTCCCCTCCCCTCTGCTCCCCCCCTCAGCAAAAGAGCAAGCCCAAAGAGTTCTGCCCCACCACCCACCATTCAAATAACAAACATATATAGCTGTGCACACGAAAACACCCAGTCCAGACCGGGCCCTTTCAGCCCGTCGGCCTGTTTGTTCACCTCACCTATGCCGGCCGGCCACAACCCCCACCAGAAAACGGCTCGCCACGGCCAGCGAGACACCGACATTTCCTCCCTTCCTCCTTGCGATGACTTTTCGCATAGCATATACACACCTCCCTCCCTATCCACACGGAAACACGCGTATCCACACACACACACATAGAGAAAAAAGCCAGAGCATGCCATGCCATGCGCAGGAGACGACAGAAAAACTCTGACTCGTTGCAAACATCCATCGACGGCCTACCACCACCCCTCCCTAGCAGCAGCAGCCGGTGCCGTGCTCAGCGGCCTTCTCAAAGAAGGCCCTGACGTACCGCGTGGCCTCCTCTTCTTCGCACGCGTCGCCGCAATCGAAATCGTCCTCCTCCCCTGGTGCCTCTGCATCGTCCTGCCTCTCTAGGTCCTCCTTGGTGGTGCCGGAGATGCTGGGCATGCTCGGCTGAGACAGGAAGGAACCCTGCTGGTTGGGCAGCGCCATTGGGGGCGAGGTGCTGCAACCGTCGCCGAGGTCGCTCTCGATCGCTGATGCGGACTTTTTCGCCGGGAGATGGGTGTCAGAGTTGGGAGTGCCGTTCTTAGTCATCTTGTATGTGCCCACACGGCCATCCTCGTCCTCACAGATGAACCTGCACCACTCGCACGGCACGTGCATCTGTATGTGCGGGGCAGACAGTGCCTCTTCGTGCACTTCACTCCCCACCTGTGGTCGTGTTTGTATTTGCCCTGTGCGATCCAGATGGCGACCTCGAGTACGATCCACGCCACCAGACATGCGATGAGAATCCCCACGATAATGGCCAGCCAATCGGAGGCGTCCAGGTCAGGAGCCGATAGCCAATTGGACAGCTGGACCTGCGAGCACATTTCCAAGAGGTGACAGGGCAGGTGAGAGTCTCTGTTTCTGTGGCTGACCCGCAGAGCCCAGCTGGTCATGACAATCAGCCAGACGAAAGGAGCGAAGTACGTCAGGGCTTTCCATGGGGATGATGTCAGCCGCAACAGATAAACACTTATCTGCACACACATGGACGAGCCATTCGTCAGATCCTGCCGATATCATCCCTGTCCATGTCCCATCGCTCACCGTGAGAAGGTTGAGAGCGGCCACCATCTGGTTGGTGGCGCCAAACAGCTGCCACAGCGAGTCGACCGTCCGGGAGTTGGCCAGGAAGATCGCCGGCACAACAGCCAAGGTGCAGCCGACAAAGGGATACCTAAGCGCCCGGGTGAGCACCCTCACTGGCCTCTTCCACATCGCCACGGGCCCATCGGTGGCTTGCTCCACGTGAACAACTCGGTCGATCATGTCGCCCACTTCAGCGATCAGCATGCGCTGGATGCGTGTGCACGTGTCGAGTGTGGTTGACGCGAACGAGACGACCATGACGACCACGACCGCCCGCGATGCGGCCACGGGAATGCCCAGAGACGCCATCAGTGCCCCGCCACCTCGGATAAAGTTGCTCAGGCCCGTCCCCGACGCATCCTTCCACGTGGCGTAAGCATCGCTGTACGTCACCTGGCAGGGAAAGGGGCATGAGTGTGGCGGCAGGCAGACAGCATGAAAGAGAAGGACCCCGGAGACATCCGTGGTGTCTCGATTGAAATTCACTGACCATTGTTGCACAGATGGTGGTCACGAGCGCTGCAAGGGCCCCTTCGCCGAGCATGCCACCGTAGCCGATGGGGCGGGCGTGAGTTATCGACGATAATTGCTTGGAGGTCACTCTGAGACACGCATACAGACAGGTAACCACTCCAGCATAATGCGTGTGTGTGGGTCTCTTGCTCACATTGATCCGATGAGCCCATGTGCACCGCTGACGGCCCCACAGGCAATGGTGACGAACAACATGGGGAATAGAGGGTCGCCCTCTCCACCACCCAGCGACGCCTCAGTGGCTTTGGTCTCGGCCGACCGCACTATGTCGGCATTGATACTTGGACTGACGACCAACAAGCCGATGAAGAGGCCCAACCTGACGACACACAGACCAAAGAGACGTGGATGGCTGTGCACATCTTGAGGTCTCCTACATGCAGGTTTCCAGCTGTAGGGCATTGATGGCGTCTCTAGATTGCACCAGCAGCCAGACGGGCAGCAGGCTGCTGAAGAAGATGATAACCCCAATAACGATTGTCCACACCTGCTGCCCGCCGAAATCGCAGCCCTCCTCCATCACTGCGTTTCGACAAATCGACCCCCGCATCACTTGGAAGGGGTGATCGAACCTGACACCACAAGCGCACAGGCCCGTCGATGCATCCCACTCTCTCGGTTGGTCGAGGCTTACCTTTCATCGATGGCGACTCCCAGCCAGATGAGCACATAGAGTGCCACAAGGGCGATCACCGACGGCCAGAAGATGCCCACCTGCTGCTTCCTATATCTCCAGAGCGCCCCCACGGCCACTGCCACAAGAATCTGTCCGTTGACGGGCAGAACGGTCTCGGGGAAGTCGATCCACAGCTTGGCTATCACGTTGACGAACACCGCTATCACTTGCCAGGTGAAGAAGGATAGCAGGCACAAGAACAGAATGCCGCATCGGGGGGACAGAATGATGCCGCACATGTCACCAATGGAACGGCCTGTCACCAATAAGATGTACTCCGTGTCTGGGGTGGCTTATTGCGCTAATCGGTACCTTTGTTTCTTGCGGCAAGGACGAGTGCGCCGAAGTCATGGACAGCTCCAGCGAAGATGACCCCTCCGACAATCCAGATGAGGCAGGGCAGCCAGCCGTAGTACATCGCTATCGACGGGCCCACAATGGGAGCCGCACCAGCTGCATCGCCAAGACACACACAGACATCCTCACGCAGCCACGCTGTTCGCTGCTCACTTGGCTCACTCACCGATTGAGGTGAAATGGTGTCCGAACAGCAGGAACGGGTCGGACGCATGGTAGTCGATATTGCCCTGGTGCGCCGGGTCCTTGCTGGGCACCGGCTCACTCGGCCTGATCCCAAAGACCTTTCTCGCCAGGAACTTTGAATAGAGCAGCTCCCCCACCACCAGCAGGGCCGCCAGAGTGAAGGTGAAGAGCAGCACCCCGCCAGACGATGTGGCCAGGCCCGCGATGGCGCACGCAGCCAGGAAGGTCCCCATGGCGGCATAAACCATGTTCGGGCCCGTCATCAGCCGACGCACCAAGCCCTTGACACCGTCGGCAGACTCCATCGTGTACAAAGAGCTGAGAGAGGCTGAGATAACGGCTGCCTCTGAAGTGCTGCCAAGTGCGAGAGTCGGCGGTCAGGTGCTGCTCGTCATTGCTTTCCTCCTTGGCGTTGGCTTGGGCGTACGCGGCGAGGAAGCGAGCTCATGAGCTCGCAGCTCTCTGCGAGCTAAGCCGCGAGGCGATAGCGAATTGCGCGTTTCAGAGAGCGCGGCTCTTTGGATCACCGACCCTACGCGTGTGACGCTGTTCTTCACCCAGTTTTCCCCACCGTCCTCAGCTGTCGCACCCAGATCACGCCTTTCTCTCAGACATCTCTGTGACATTGTCGTAGCTGTCAGCCAATCGTCATGCCTCAGCCGCCCTCTGAGATGCATCACTACCGTGTGAGTGTGGACGTCCTCTGCGGAGGCTCCATCAGACACACACAGCACAAACAGGTGGGTGATGCATGCCGCCACACACGGGGTGGGGAGACAGACCACACACGACGAGGGAAGGGACGGAGGAAGGCGTGCACACAGAGACGGCACACGACGCCACGTAGACAGCAAGCGCTCGTGTCTCCATCATTCCGTCCTTTGTCTGTCTGTGTGTCTTCCTCTCCTGTCTGCGACAGATTGTCCCTCTTCCCATTATGAAGACCGTCTCGCAGCCCGCCACTCCCTCGCCCTGTGACACCACCCACGACGACAAGCCCGTCTACCCCCGTCTACCCGACGGTCTGCGTTTCGCGACCCCGCCCAAGGCGTCTTCACTCTTGCAGCGGCGGTTCGGCACGGCCACCGACTTGCGAGTGGACGTGCCGTGACCACCGTGGCGACCCACCAGCCATTGGCAGAGGGGAGGGGTGGACTGACAATGAAGCGGGTGGGGGGGGGTGTAGTGTGCAGCAGCTCTTGTATCGTCATCATGTATCGATCGTATGATGTGTGGTGGTGGCGGTTGCGTGAGTGTACCAAGGGCGACAATTCGTGTCATGTCATGTTTTGTCTGGACTATTGTGGCTGCCTGTGGGGGGTGGGGTGGGGTGGTTGATTGTGTGATGGATGTGACTGCCTATGCTACGCTACGCTACGCTATGCTATGCTACCCTTGTCCTTGCCCCCTCTTTGTGTGTATCTACCTGTCTCTATCTCACCTCGTCTCAACTCGTCTGTCTGCCTTTCTCATCTCGTCTCATCTCGTCTTATATCCACCTTTCTACAGACACACATGCCTGCCTGCCTAGCTGCCTGCCTGCCTGCCTGCCTATCTTTCTCGCTACTGAGCTGGCTATTTGTCTAACGACCAACCGAACAACTAGCCGACATACACACACACACACGTGCCCGGCATGCGGACCATCCTCAGCAGACAGATGGGGCGGGGGGCTGGGGGAGCGAGGGAGGGAGCGACGGAGGGAGGGAGGAGTCTGTACAGTGACTGCTAGTTAGTGCATGTCTGTCATGCCCCGCCCTGCCATGTCAGGTCATGTCAGGCTGTGTATGCTCGACGGCCCACCATTACCCATTCATAGACCTGGGCGGTGGTGGTGCGGTCAGCTGCTGGCATGCCTGCCTGCCTGACGGACTGGCATCGTGTGTGTTCATCCCCTCCCCTCCCCTCCCCTCCCCGCCCCTTGTCTTTTCCTGTCGTCCGGTCCGCCTGCATTGCCTCCATCAAGTGCACACAGTCCGATAGCTACAGACACACGCCCGTGTGGTGGGTGGGTGCGTGCCTTTTTCCCAGACAGACAGACAGACGGGCTTGGGGTTGATTTGACTCGACCGACCGTTCCTGGTGGCCGGCCGGCCGGCCGGCAGGCAGGCCGGCCCTTTGTTGTTGTCCATGTACAGCTAGGGGTGACCTATCCTAAGCTACCTACCTACTCACCTACTCGGCTTGCTGGATTGCTTGACTGACTTGCGTGAGGTGCGTGTTGCGTGTGTGTATTTCTTTCCAGACACTGCACTCATGGTGGATGGATGGATGGATTCAGAGAGAGAGAGAGAGATGATGCTGGATCGAGCTAGCGATCTGGAGGCTGTCTTGCTAGCTCCCTGCGAAATACGCGAGGGGGCGCGAGGCCGGCCGGCCCCACTGACTGTTATTCTTAATATTGATTGCCGGAAGAAACAGCGATGGACGGATGGAAAAGTTGAGCTTTTTCTGCCTTTCGTGCTCTCCTGCGCTCGTGTGCCTATCTAAAGAATGCATCTCATCTTTTTGCGTTGGGTCGATGAGGTCGATGCGATGTGGTGTGTTCCCTCCCCTACCCCAGCCCACCGCGCGGTGTTTTTGCGCATTTTGCTTTGAATTCCCTTTTGCCCTTTCCTTTTTGATTTTTCCTTCTTCCCCCATATATATATCATAGCAATCAATTGCTGAGCAGCATTTTTTGACATCCATATGTGGTGGCTGTGGTTGGGGCGTGGCGTGCAGCGGTGTTGTGTGCACATACGTACGTATCTCGCCGCCCTTGGCGCACACATGGATGGATGGATGGACCGAGTGGATGGATGGGTACTTTTTGCCTGACTGACTCGACTGCGTGCAGTACCTACAAGCCATTCGTGCCGTGCCGTGCCAGCCACTGACTCACTCAAGGAGACGTACGGTAGGTAACGCCTGAATGAACCATCCTACCACACCATACATGCGTCGAGCCACGATGTGTGTGTGTGTGTTGTATAAGATCAAGCTGGCATGGAAGCGATCCGTACAGACTGCGTACTGGTACGAACGTTGATTTGATACGTACAGGTCTTGTTCGAACCTCCCTCCCTGTTGGTTGATCTGATTGGGAACTGTATGGATGAATGTGCGGCTGGCTGTCTCTTGCAAGCTTTTCTTGCGGCTGGCCGGGCTGCTCACTCATTCGCCCACCTAACTCAACAAATTGAATGCCATGTGAGGTACTCTGTCTCTCTGTCTCTGCCGACGGCGACGGCCGCCCACTCGCCCACTCATACACACACCTGCCTGCACGTCTGTCTCATCTCATCGTCGTCCCGTTTGTTTCTGTTCGCGAAGTGTCTGTCCTTGCCCCGTGTGTCGCTGGCTGACTCCCTGTGCCTAGACAGTCTGGCTGGCTGCGTCCGTCTGCCCTCGTGTGGATCAACTCGCTCGCTCTCTGGCAGCACAGCACACTGCATGGCGTCGCGTGGAGGTGATTCAGCTCTAGGTGCATGTGGATGCTCACGACGGTTTCGGGGCATTCTGCGTTAGTGAGAGGTGTATGCGACGCATTGTGCTCCAGTGTCGGATCTCGGGCATCCACGCATGTGTCATGTGTTGATGATGACAAGTCGACAACACACAGGTTGGGTGCCTGGGACGGACAGGGGAGCCGCAGTGTGATTTGCACACGCCACGCCGCGCCTGCCCCATGATGTTTCGGTCGGTTCGTCCACTCACCTACTGGCTTGCCTTTAGTCATCGCCTGTGTCTGCAATGTGGTGCCCACACAGAGCGGGTGCACACTCACTCACTCACTCACTTCTGTTCACTACTCACTGCACTTGTCTCTTCTGCCTGTCTTTTGATACACACACACATACATCACATGTCGCATTTCACACACACATACACACACACACACACATGCTTGGTGGGGTGGATGGCTTGATGGGCGTGTTGAGCGTGTTGAGAGCGAGAAGTGTCCCTCCTCCCTACTGTGGTGGGTAGTTTTCACGCACAACTCCCTCCCTCTCAATACATACTCTGTTCCATATGTTCGATGTCTGTCGCTTTTGCGTGTGCGGCGATGCGTGCAGTGTTAAATTGTTGATGGCAACTGACGGGAGAAACCTGGCCAACACCAGGTTGTCTCGTTCATTGCCATTGGCGAGCTCATACTCACTCATCGGTGGCACGCCACACATCCATCACATGGCGGGCGACACACAACACACAGACCAGGTCGGTTTGGGTCAGGTTTCTGTCTATCTTCTACAATTAAGGTCTACTTGTCTAGTACTTACTTGTCTGCCTGTCTACACAATGAAGCAAGCACACGTACTGACTGACACGGTGCCATACACACATACACAAACATCCCATGACATGACGGGTGAGGGGATGGATGGATGGATGGTTGATATCTTATCTGGCTGGGATTTTCTTCACCCACACGCACGCACGCACGCACGCACGCACACTCAGTGAGTGCTTCCGTACGATTGCATTCACACACACACATATGTCATGTGTGTATACGTGTGATCTACATACACACAGACATGCATACATACATACATCCATACATCACAAAGTGAGCGAGTGAGGGAGACAGACGCACATGATGGATGTGATGTGATGTGTCCGGCACGCATCTCGGCTCGTTTTAGTTTCTGTCTAGTCAGCCCGCCCCCATACGTCACACGGGCGCGCGCCGGTTTGGTGGGAGAGAGGGTCGGTGTGGGGGTGGTCGGGTGGGTGGATGCACCTGAAGGTCTAGGCCACCGCCGGGAGGCACCGGCCTAGCCACTCGTGGATCCATCCACACACCATTGGGGAGGGAGGGAGAGAGG